CGGCCAGTCCACTGTAGATAAGAAAGTTTGTTGCCAATTCCCTGCTGCAAATTGACACTCCCCAGGATCAAAGTCGGGTACCACCATGCATTGGCCATATTCGCACCTAGTAAAGTAATCGTATGCATCCATATTCAACACCAAGTACGCACTCTCATGCTTGACATTTGCGCGTCTCAAGCTCAATTCGTGTTCGTAAGACAAGCAATGTCTTCAGCCAGGAAAAGGGGCGACGACTCGGCGACGTCTTCGCATGAATCAGCTTGGTGGTCGGGAGCGTCGTACCCAATAAATCCTAATTGTATTGATCGGTAAAAAATTTCTCTTTCAAAGCTAGACAGATTTGCTGGTACCACGAACAACAGTTTAAGTATAGGTTTCACGCCCGTCATCTGCTGCCATCGCTTAGTCCACTTCGTTCAGCCGTCCAGCCCGCGACACCAATCAATGTATTTGCAGCTTCTTAAAAACCGCAAAAAATGGGTTTCATTTTTTTTTTTTTTTTTAATATTGAGTGTGTGTTTTTGATGACCCACGACTTTGATTATATTTGGTGGTTGTGTCTAAAGGGTACGTGACCACGGAGAAGAGAGTGAGCGTGACTCAAACCAGCCAGCTCTCGATCAGCAATTTTCGGAAGGAAAAAAAAAACAAATTTTGAGCCGCAAATCGTGTTTTGAGTAGCCATGTCATGCACCTGTCATGTACAAATAAAAACCTTGGCAGAGCTGTCAGTGTCCCTACGAGACTTCAAAGGCAAATTATTACACATTAGAGGACATTTCCATTTACAGAAGCATTTTTCTGGTCATTTCATTCCTTTGCTTTCCAATACTTGGCCAGAAAACAGAGTTTTAGGTGAAAGACTATCATTCATCCTGACGGACAAATTAAAAAGTTAAATGCTGCAAACGGTGCAAAACTCGAGTAAACACGTGAGACCTCTCGACAAACTGGCGTTGCTTTTTCTCCGTGCTCCCCAAGAGCCCGCATTGCTCCAAGAACAGAGTGAACAGGGACTGCGCCCGCTGCTTCGGCCGGTGCTGGCTCATGTACGGCTACCCGAGCGTCAGCAACGAGGGAGTCTGCCAGGGAAAGAGCTACCCCTGCGATCCAACCAGCTGTGGCATACACGTCTTCTGTGAGCCTAACTAAGCAGTCGTTCCGTTCCCGCGCTCGCGTTTGCTCGCGACTAAGTTTTTACGATCTCTTACAACAAGAGAGCACACTGGCGCCATCTATGGGTACGTGGCCCCCGTACTGCATTCCACTAAAGCGAAGGTTTTGCGGTACAATGCCGAAATAAAATGTATGTGCCGTTTATGGGAAATGGTCGTTTATCCCATTGTCGAAAGTTTTTCCGATCCAAGAAAGGACGACAATATAGGAAATATACGAAAATGCCAATTTTTGGATCCGATAGATGGTGTTCTTTCTTTGTAAGAGATCCCAAGATGTTGGTGCAGGCACAAGCGGTCGCAAGTGCCTGCACCAGCCCTCACGTGCACGCTCAAATAGGATTGTCAGTGCACTAGACGAGGGTGGGCAGAGATACTAAAAAAATATTCCGGAATAGAAATACTGAGATACATGCATTATAAGGCCAGCATAAGGATACTGAGATTGTCTTTGATGTAATGAATAGATTACTCGGATAGTTCTGTAAAAACGGCAAAAAACTATCTCGGAATGCAGATACGGATACGTACAGAAATAAATATTGTCCTGAACTGTGGTAAATGCAAAGGGAGCAGTTCATGGCAAATGCAAATGGTAGTGCTCATGTTGTGGCGACCATAGGCGTAGACTACAGGCGGGCATTGGGGCTCATGCCCCCCTGGTGAGATCCGGGCCATGATCCTTACCGAGATGCTGTTTATGTGCCATGTAACGAGCTTCTAGTAGTGGCATGTAAACAAAATAACAACCACGTTGCCTTTATTGACAAAATACATGGGTAATGGAATCCCAGCATGCTTTCGTTAGCTTCAATCTCCAGTTTTGGCGAGAAGGTAACGCGCCCCCCCCCGGAGAACTTCTCAGCCTGCCCCCCCCCCCCCGGGAAATGGAAAGTCTACGCCTCTGGTGGCAACTGTTTGGGATATATTGGCCTTTCTCTTCAGGTTTCCCGCCTGTAAAGGGTCTCAAGATGGTGGGTTCATAGCAAAAAGTTGGGGACCCCTCGCGACTAAAAGGTGGTTTTGAGTTTATCAAAAATTCCCGACAGGTAATTTTCGACAACAGATGTAACGAGGTACCAAAGACTGGAAGAGTATCACGATACATTGTAAATATGTTTTACTGAGGTACAAATACATTTTTCAAATGTATCTCGATACAGAAATACAGATACCCAAAAGTATCTCAAACATACTATCGCGATACATTTGTACTATATCGCAATATTTCCCAGCCTTGCACTAGACTTATACTCGATGACAGGTTAAGAATGCTGGTAGCAGATGCTCTGCCTCCAGCGTCGTTTTCATTCCTTTGATAACACTGTCGCACATGCATGCAGTCAAAGCTCGGTGGAAGCCAACGAGCGCATGCTGAAGGTGGAGCTTCAACTGGGTTCCTAGCCTGTTGCCTACTATAGCTACATCAATAATATTCTGATAAACAAAAGACTCGCATATCTCTCCAACAAAGAAATGAGCAGAGGCAATTATATGTGCACCAGTCTTCTGGCCATTCAGATATACAATCTATAAATGGCATCTTTGATATGGTCCTCGAATTGAATTGAAGTATGTGAAAAATTTAGAGCAACATTTTTGATTGATCAAATAGTTCCAGCTGGTTGGGGGCATGAGTACACTCCCACTGTGACACGCACGTATTGTGGTGAAGCGACACCTGCCACTAGCGGTTTTGGAGGACTCTACAGCATTTCGGTGGTCAGCGAAAGGTCGATTGGTTAATTTCACATATCAGTGGGTAGCAGTGACTAATAGTTGTGAATGTTCTAACATAACCTCAGTTAGTTGAATTGGATAGGTTCTTCAGTACGAAAGCTTTTCTTATATATATTATTTCTTGAGGAAACGCCGAAAAATGCTTTGTCTTTCGTTTATACTCGGATTCTATAACGTGGGGTGGCTCTGTTTTGAAGCCAGTAAGTAGTTATCCGTCATCCAATCGCTTTCTTCTGTTGTAATATTTTGCTCGTTACTTTTGCTTTAGGTGGAGGCTACAAGTTCACGGACAATGATGAAAAGAAACCTCTAAAGCCCGTTGTGTGAGCTCTCACAGAACAATTTGATACCCAGCGAATAAACTCATTTAGCTCGAATGCTTTCCCTCCGTTTTCCCATGCGTTTCTTTCACCTTCATCGTGTCAAATGGTTATGTCATATTTCATTGTTTAGACAGCAAGTTCCGTCTACCAGTTTCTTTTACAACATTGTTACATGCTGTAAATGAAAAATTTTGCTAGTGTAGTAACACTTCTGGCGTGGCTCTTTAAACGGATCATACCAAGGAGGTCATAATGCATCATACCAACACATGACCACACACCAGTACAGTGCCCATCCAGATCGAAATGGGCAAGGGCAGGCTCGAGCCCAGAAGCCCTCAGTTCTGCAGTGCAAGCTTTTCATCAGGGTTTAGTGCTTTAAGGGGGACAGGTGAATGTTTAAACCATTTGTCTGATTTAAATGCCGTTTACAGGGCTTGTTTCCGTTGATGTTGAGAACATTTCTGCCAAGCTTTGTTAACTTGGGTGAAGTACAAAAAAAAATTGCAAATGTTCAAAGATGAAAGTGGGCGTGTCTGCGCAGGAAAACTATTGTAATGAAATTACTTATAAATTTGGCGTTTTCATGTGTTATATTGCTTTAGGACAGTTCACAGCAGATAACTATGGAGCTATATTTCTATATTATGCCATCTTTCATGACAAAAATCCACATAATCACAAACACTGTTTTTTAGATTTCTATCCTTTGTCCAAAATTTTAGTTCTTAAGCATGAAAAATGATAAAAATAAAAAAAAAATACAAGCTCTAGTTAACTTCCCCTCATCCCAGAAAAACTCATAAAAAGGAATTCAAGTTATGTAATAACAAAACGATAGTTTTCCTAATGTGAAATTTATGCCATAAGTGGAATGGAGAAAAATGTGTTTAAAGTGCTCCAACCTCTCTCTACCTTTCCTTCAGCGTCGCTGGACCGAAAATAATTCATAAAAAATTAACTATACAGTGTAAACTAATGAAACTTTCTGGGAATACTCTCTAGATGTTGGTGGATGTAAGCATGGCATTTTTCAAAATCAACTTTTTTGTGCAGAAGTTGTTTTTTCTGGGTGGTGTCCCCCCCCCTCAGGACACCCAAAAGGTTTGAAGGTCCAGTGCTACGATTTTAATGCTGAAAGAATTTGCACCTAGTATTCTTTATATCGTTTATCTTGGCACAAGTGAGAGAAAATCAGTCTTGGGTAAGTTACTTTTAAAAAGTAATTCATTACAGTTACAGTTACTTTTAGAAAAAAGTAGTGAAGTTACCATTACAGTTCTCGCAACAAAAGAGTAACTCGTTAGTTTCTTTTAAAAAGTAACTAGAAGACGCCCCTCACCAAGTTTTATAGCATAAATTTTAAGAAGTATGCTTTTTACTTTTTATTGTAACTTAGTAGCAGTTGCTTCTTGAAAATGGTGTCTGAAAGTTTCCCTCGTTTGATGGCGAACATGTCCCTGCCCTTGCTGAACAGACCCCGCACAACCGGAGCAACAAGCAAGCCCCGCGCAAACAGCAGTAAATTTTGCCTCGACTGTTGACATCATGCCGGAGTAGTGGCGCAAATAGAAATACGAAACATGCGCAGTGCGGAGTAGTGGCGCTAATCAAAATTTTAAACATTTGCAGTGGCCTCTGTGTGTATTGTTGTTTCATTTATTTATTTATTTATTTATTTACACAGTACCTACATCGCCACAGGGGCATTATTGTAGGGGGTACATGCTACAGGAAAGTAAAATGATTATACGTCACATTGTATCAAACATGTTAATAAAAAGTAAGACTATTGATTGAAAGAAGTGCAAAAAGACTGTTACAAAAACTGTTACACAAAATCAGAAACATAACAGTACAAAACAATACACAGCACACAACTATTAATAGCATCTGAAGTCTCAGCGACCACGTGCTGCGGAAGACTTTTCCAATCACTAATTGATTTTGGGAAATACGAGTTCTTAAACATTTCAGTTTTACACCTAATATTCTTTATTTTTAGTGGGTGGTCCACCCTTGAAGACAGGTAATCAGGATTATGTAAGTAGTGGTCCTTCACAATACCTGTTTGTCCTAAGTAAATACTTCTGAAAAGTTTCATTCTAAGATATTTTCACCGCGAAACCAGAGATTTCCACTCCAGTTGTTTCTTTAAATCTGTTATACTTGAGCAAAATTCATAATTGTTTGCAACAAAACGGGCTGCTCTGTTTCGCACACGCTCTAGTTTTGATATTAAATTTACGTAATACGGGTCCCACGCTGGACAAGCATACTCTAAGATTGGCCTAACATTAGTTACGTATAACAGCTCCTTAATATTTGTTGGGGCCATTTTGAAATTCCGTTTGATAAAATTTAAAACGCGGTTTGCCTTTGCTGTGATTGCGTCGACATGCTTAGTCCAGGAAAGATCTACGCTAAGATAAACCCCTAGATATTTGACATCAGCTACCTCCTGAAGAGGAACACCGTTCAACTGATATTTTGATAGATAAGGCTGCTTTTTTGATGGTTGATCCACCCAATTAAAAAGTGTTTGTGCAGAAAAAAGAACAACCTCAACATAGATAATGCTTCAAGATACTAAGATCTAAATGTTCAGTCACAAAGTACAAGCACGTGCAAAAAAGATAACTAAATTTTCTCATCATATCTACAAGTGGCTACAAACGGGTCATGACTCGTGAGAAAGAACGTATCTACAAGTTTGTGCAAGGTCAACTTGACACTCGAAACATTCAAACAGACAATTTGGAAAGTGAAAGGAATAGCTAGTTTGTACTCGGTCAGTGATATATTATACATAAAAAACTGGAAAGTAAAAAGTAACGTTGTTACTTTCATCGTTACCTGAGAAAAAGTAAAAGAACTACAGTGTCAAGTTAAATTTTTAAAAAGTAACTCGTTACTGTTACAAGTTACCAAAAAAACTGGAGAAAATGTGCCACATCCTCCAAAACACTGCGATTTCACTGCGTGATTGTAAAAGAAAACTACTTTTTTTTTTTCCATTTTGCAGCTGAGTGTGGCGGTCATTCCAAATAAGACGTTACGTCATTTGGAGTACACAGATTTTCGTGGCGCAATCTATCGGAAGTCAACAAAATATAATATTGTCTGTCCGTGGAGATTTTTTCGCACACTCTGCTCCGGCCTGTTCAAACGCTCGGCTGCCCAGCAGGAAAAGAAAGCCAAGCCAGTTCTCTGGATCTCCGCATGCGGCGCTTATTACCAAACGAGAATCGGGAACAGAATCGCCTGAAGGCACGCTGTCAAGTGAGCTTGCGGCACGAGGCTTTTATTTCAAAGCGATAGCTTTAAGTAACTCATGTCGCGGAAAAGCCGGCGTCGGTGTCGGCGTGATGGAAAAAATCCTGATTAGTCGATAAGTAATTCATTTGCCTTAAAGAAAACAATTCAAAGGATTTTAGGCGAAGCAAGATCGAACCCACAACCCTTTGGTCGCGAGCCAGACACGCTATCGACTAGGCCACGCAGGAACAAGTGGGGGCTTATATTTAGCTATCTCATACCGCTCTTGAAGGCGAAGCTTAAGCGTCCCCCAGTAATTTTCATTGTTCTTATCATCAGAATAGAGAAAGGCAAGTCAATCTCTGTTGATTCATCATTTTCATTCGCTGCTCCAGTCTTTGCACTCTTTCACTGGACGATACCCCAGAATGCAAAATTCAGTGGGAATCTATATATGTTCCTTTTTTAGACTTTAAAAAGGTGGACCTTCGAATTTCGACCAACTTCTTCCTTTAAAAGGTCCGTGTGTTGCGGCGAGAGGCCGGGAGCGCATTTCGCACTGCCTTCAAGTTATGTAGACCTAAGATAATAGTGATCATGATAATTCGCAGCTATTTCCTTGCATTGTTTGGTTTAGATTAGGGATGTTGCAAACTTTTGTCGAACTGGATTCTTAGGTCGAACTTTCGGGCTTTGACTGGTTAAAACCGGTTCGACGAACCTTCGACCTTTTAACCAGATTCGACCGGTTCGACTGTGGACAGCGTGGCCAGACCTTAAAGACCGACGACCAGTTCACGCTTTCCACTTTTCCCCCCGCTTCCTCCTCTCCCCCCTTCTACCCGGTCCACCGTTGCCTGTTTCCTCCTCCCCCAGGGTGAGGAGGATATTCTGCCTTGCAGAATCGCGTGTCTGGCCTTTGGCCTTTAATACAAGCATGTCTAGGTTTGGAGAATGTTTTTTTTTCTGTGCAAAGTGTTATTTTAATTTTATGAACAGTTGCAATTAAAAGAAACTAATTCTTATCACTGAAGAATTTAATAACTTAATTTTTTGTACTGTATTAACTGAAATAACCAATCACTGCTGCCCTTATTTCATCCCTTAGCCATCACCGTCCAATCCAAAGCCAACTGGCCAGCCTGTCGCGCATGCGCATAGCAGTCGAACCTGTGTCAAACTTTTCACAAGAAGTTTGAAAAAGTCAAACCTGGTCGAACTCAAACCTCGACCGGTTCGCGACACCCCTAGTTTAGATTTGTACTGAAATGGTGCTTCCAGGGCGACCATGTTGGATCCAAGGCCGCACTGCAGGAAGTGATCAGTGGAAGCGATTGTCCCTTCTGCAAAAGCCCCGGATGCGCGAGCTACGCGATCGTCCTCCGTGTCGTCTTGTTTCCAGACTTTGAAAACATGTTTTAAAACATTGCTCGCGTTATAATAAAACAATGCGATTATACTGTATCTAGTGGCTACACATAATGTGGAATGGTCAAGAAACCTTCCAGTTCATTCAATCTTAGTATAGAATGTATATTTCGCAAACGCAAAGCGAGATACATGATCCGCCCGAAACTCGGCGCCTGCATGGTCGTACAAAGGTGGTTAGTTGGGCGAGTTTGTAATCGCTTTCTTGCACAAAGGTCAGATCCAGCTCTGTGCACATGACCGCTTCCCCGCCAGTAGAGAGTTGGCGGTGAAAGGACAAGGAGCGCGATACTCTGGTTCTGCAAGCAGAGCCTATGTAGTTACTCTAATTAGGTTGCGAGCGCTACCAAGCAACCCGCAGTAACAGTTTCTACTGGCGAATGCAACGTCCCAAATGGTGCAGCCAACGCGCGAAAAATATGTCACTATCCTTCCTATTTTTCCCATGATGAACTGCCTTTTGTCACTGCACACTTCACTTGAAAGATGGTGCAAGTTGAGGGGTACACCAAACTTCGATTTGTTTCATTATTTTAATACAAACTAGCACACACACACACAAAAAAAGTCAATCTCAATCTTGAGACTGAATATAAATAAAATAATGTTATTTTATTTCCTTTGCGTCTCAGGGTGAAGATTATGTTGTTCCCAACCACTTTCGCTTCTAAGAAAAAATTGTTTTGTAGCGTGAGCTACACTGGCCGAGGTTGAGCAGTTTCGCGTGGCTCCCAAAGAGCCGTGCTGCGCAAAGCGCGAGGAGCAGTGATGTCACACGGCGCACAGCTGGCGCTCCGCCGCCACCGCACGCGCCTCACCGGTCTGCGCATTCCAGAGGAGTGACGTCATAGCCGCAGCAGCAAACTGGCGCCGCCGCGTGCCCAGCCGTGCGCCTCCGTTGTGCAGTAGCCAAGTCTGACGCTGCACCGGAGCTGCTTGATAGCGCCTCTCATTTTGTGCAAATGAGTTCACGCTACGTATATTTTGGCATAGCCGAGCTAAGCCACCGCAATTTTTTTGTTCTTAATTTTTAGGTGGCATAGACCAATAGACCCTTTCTGAAATTCAGTCTGGCCACTTTGATCACTATCATCATTTGTGGAACGGCATCTGTGCCATACCAATGGCGGCCTTCTAGTGACTGATAAAGGAAGACGTTGAAGATGCTCCTAAGCGGATCTTGCGAGGCCTGTACATTCGGGGGGTCAGTACGACGCGACGTAGGAATGGAACACAAGAGCTACGTAAGCGTTTATTTCTAATAACTCAGATTCAGTCAATCTGTGGGCAGCACACAATCGGCTTTAAAGCACTTTGGTGTATAGAAATTTCTCGAGGCATCTGAGTGGGTTGGAGCTTTGTTCTGAATGCAGGTTCTTGGTCACCATCGAACTGAAAGTGATAGAGAAAGAACTCGCACTGAACAATTCCTCGCCTGCCGTTGACTTGCGAAAGTGATGGTGCCAATACAAGTTCATTTCCGCCATTGATATGGCAAAACCTAAACTGCTTTACAAACCACCAGATGGCACTGAATTTCGGAAAGGGTCTATTCCCGCAATTCATTGGCCAAAGTCCGAACGGTATGTCATCGCCCCTTTAATGTTGGGCCATAAAATCATTCACATGCCACTTTGAACTGTTGTATGACCTAAAGCCCCTTGATAAAAGCGTTTTTTACAAGTACCGCCAACCATTGTTGTGAAGGCGCTCGAGACACGAGCCATGAGCGGGTGCTCCGCCGCCATTCGCTTCCAAGGCCCGCTCATTTCAGTGCTGCGCCGCCATTTGCTTCCAAGGGCCGCTCGAGACATGGGCCTCGTGCACTCGCGCATTTGACGCTACTTGCAAGACGAGCGCAAACACATGGAGGGGCTTTAGTATGACCTACTAACCTATTACTTTATTTATTTCAAGGAGCCTTAGCAGGAGTGGGTAAACCATACGACAAAAAGGGGGTAGGGTGCAGTCATAAATAAACAGAAAAAGGAAGAACTCAATTGTAAGTAAACTTTCCACAGCAGTAACGAAATTTTCAACAAGTGTTAAGATGACGATATCGCTTGCTAGCTCATACCAATCGGATATTCCACAGCACCACTTCAGAAACTGCAGATGCAGGAGAATGGAATGTGAAGAAGAAGAAGAGGACAGATGTGCTGCTTCGCAAGGCCAAGCCACGTGTTCCATCTGCTCTTGCTCGTGGCAATGGAATGTCACGGTGGCCACGAGGAATTAATGTCGGAAGTCCTGGCACTCAACGCAGTCCGCAGAGCTCTGACCTGCCTCGAGAGCAGGGGCTCGTCTAAACCGCTGGTAGCCCTGTCATCCTCCAGACTGTTGCAGTTCCACCAATTTCAGAAGCACTCCAGACATGGTATGTGAGTGTGTGCACGTGAACCGTGGTAGGTTTTTGCTCATAAAGCAAGGAAGGCTTGAGTACCTTGCATGCTCCCCCTGAATTCTACAGGGGAGAGGTTTAGTGATGCAGAGATGTCTTTCGAAGGTTAAAAGGGTTTAGTATGATTGTGACGCAACACCACACCTTGAAAGCGGTCAGTTGTAGGCACCTAAAAGAGGGTATCGTTTTGTTGTGGAAAGCTTTTCACAGACACACGTTTCCTGAACAATGTTTCGTCGACACTGTGGAGTTTCGAGGCACATGCTCCTGTAGAATTTGATGACAACAAATCTTTTTTTTTACTAATTAAGTGCATAATCAAATCTGGAAGTCACTAAAGAATGCAGAAAGTCTTTTGATGATACAAACTCAATGAAATAATGCATGTCGACGAAACGATCAGCCAACGGAACGTTGTTCGATAAAATGATTGGTGCACCGTTTAAAGAACCATGTTGATTGCTCAGATTGTGCCAGAATTACGTGAGGAAACAAAGATAATTACCTCAAAACAAAAAAATTATCAGCCCTGCCTACTTGCCGTAGGATATGTTTACAATATTCAACGAGTAACATTATTTTATTGTTATAAGGCAATATTTAAGCATGAATTGCTTCCTGACGCTACCCCTCTATCCCAAAATTTATTTTGTTTGTCCTTGCATTTTCCAATGAAATTTAGGGGGGAAATTGATATCACGAGGCCTTATTGGGGAGTAGGAGCGACCGTGACGCCCCAAGCGGTTAACTTCAGAACTACACGGATGGGGACAACAGATACAATGACTCAGCGCTCAGCCGACATAACCGAACGCGGCGTCAGCGTTCGGCTGGAGTTTGTGTTCTCCGGTGAGGGGGAGGAGGGCCTCTTTTGTTACCAGTCCGGCCTGCATGAACAACGCAGCATGCACGGCGCCCAGCTCAGCACAAAAGCCCAAGTGGGTCAAGCTCGCATTCTCTGAGGATAGATCCGGCACTTAACATCACTTCATCGATTGTTAGTATTTTTTACATTAGACTGTGCCCCGCCTCTATTGTAGATGGTGACATGGACATGCCCATAAGGCCTGTGGGCATGTGCACAGGCTTTGTGTTGAGTAAACACCGAGGGTGGGGAAACAAACGGGTCAGAGCGCCCCGTATAGTTCGGTCTCCTGCCCAATACACAAATTCAGTTCCTCAGCTAAACTTAGCAGGAAAATTTGTGTCGTGTGACCTAGAAACCAATCCATTTTCCCCACTAAATATAGCGGGGAAATCAACATCACATACCTATACAGCCATTCAGTTTCTCCGCTAAATTTAGCAGGAAAATCTACGTCACGTGAGACACCGAATCCCTCGCAGTATGTTTCATGCATTTTAGAAAATAAATGGTTATTTCAATTTTTTTCTTTTTTTTCCACATCACCTATTGCATTGATTTCATAAACAGCATTAAGTAGCATAGCCATTATTTACCTGTTTAATCATTTGCTTTTGTTTTTTACTGTGCCATTGGGCTAAATATGGCTCGTGCCAGTAGAACTCGCCCAAGGAACACCTACTCCACTGTATGACCACAGCACGAGGTAGAGACTAGTTTTCAGCAGAGCCGTATATTGGGAGAGTTTGGCCAGTGGGTGTGGCGACGAAGGCGCCGGAGAGGAGAAAAGTAAACGAAAGGGAGGAGAGCGCCGAATGAGCGAGAGAGAAAGAAAAGAGCAGAGAGGAGAAGACCGCCATTTTTTCGCAACGCTGTCGGAGACTGGTCGGAGAAGAGCACTGCTGAGGCTACGGGTCGTCTGGTACGGGCAGACTTCTTTTTCGCCTGAATAAAAGTATGTGGCTGTACGTCGAGAAAACTTCATTTATTAGCTTTTTAATCCACCGACGAATAACAGTATATAATTTTCTTGCCAGAGCCAGCTTTATAAAAAGAAATAATCAAGATTTAGATGCTGATCCCATGCATTCCGTCGGGAGAATAAACGAAAATGGCGGCCCTCCCCACTCAGCTGGGAGCAGCCGGGAGTTCACGCGCATGCGCTCATGCCTCTCGCTCTGCGCCGCGTGCTGATTGGCTCGCTCGGGAGGAGAGCGTTAGGGCGGCGAGATCATAGATTGACCAAACTCTCCCCATATATGGCTCTGGTTTTCAGTTAACGAATGCCTTACATTCAGATAAATGGATCAAGAGGCGACAGACAACAGTTTCAAATGTAGGAAAAGCTTCACTCGGTCCAATGAAGTGTACAAGCTAGGGCTCCAGGCAAACTTGTTGAAAGTGCAACTTGTCGAAGGGCAATTCATCGGAGAGGCCATCTGGTCGCCACTTCTTTTAGCATTGCATGCAGTTTTTATTTTCTAACAGAAATATGAAACGCGCTTTGCTCAACGTCATTTTTAACATCATTTTTGTGTGTGCAGAAAATTAATAGATTTTTATTTATCGTGTAGCCCTCTCCAAAGAATGCTTCTCGAATGACATAGGTACTGTGTAAATAAGACGGGGCAGCTCGAGCTGGTATATGCATAAAAAATCTCAACAGAAAGACAGTGCAGTGCATTATGGGTAGGGTGTGTACTTTCCGGTTTTAACCGAAAAACACCGATAAACATCCGTCGGTGACGAAAATACAAAATCGGTTAGAACCGAAAAACTCCGGTGGTTGGATTTTTTCGCTCTGGTTAAAACCGAAAAACACCGGTCGTGGCATGATTCCGACCTAGCGAAACCCTTTCCCCGTAGAGGTTCGTCAAACGTGTTATCTCGTGGATCCTGCATTCTTCCAGTGTTTATACATGGCTTGCGCGTGGCGTCAGTCCGCCCTCCTTTCTAGGGGTCAAAAGCGTTTAGTGAACGCAGTGGAAGCTAAGCTCTCATACGCCTTTCCCCCATTGTGTCTCCCATGGGCCCCTTTTGTGGAAAAATTAACGCCGTGGAAGTAGGCTCTCACGTGCCCTTTCCCCATTGTGTCTGGCCAAGTGATGTCGGTGCAAACCATGTATTCAGAGGTTGCTGAGGTTCCTGGAAGACACTGCCAACGTCCGTGTCGTACATTAGCGTGACTTTTCATAATTGTGGGTTGTGAACTGCAAGGAACGTGCTGCCATGACGGATGCAAGCCTCTCGTGGTATGCTTGCATCTACTATAATAACCAAGTGTGAGAATTAGATGCTTCCTAGAGAAGAAGTGTATGAAATATGCGAATAAAATTGGAACTCTCTGTTTGTGATCAATCGCATTTTTTCCACCGATAATCACCGATTTTAGCCTCGTAGTGAGACGTTCCACCGAAATACACCGGTGTTTTGAAAATAAATAAACACCGAAAAACATCCGCCGATTTTTCTCACAAATAAACACCGGAAAGTACACACCCTAATTATGGGTAACCCGGGAAACTGGCTTTCATTTATTTTCCGCCAGTTTGCACACATTTAGTTCTGTAGATTGGGGGCACTGCGGGGGCGTTTTAAATAAAGTCCGCAAATAAGTGCTTCCTACAAGTAGCAACACTCTTTGAAGCGCCGACTGCGTGGTGGTGCAGGTTTTAGGAAGCGAACGGCGGCGCACAAAAGAGGTTTGAACTGAATGTCACCATTTTGTTCCAGCGGAATGTGCTCTGGGGCTTTAGTTCTGAATTCATGCTGTTTCTCCAGAACTTCTGTTAAGTGGAATCTCCAACCACAATCAATTGCGCATCCCCCCCCCCCCCAAAAAAAAAAAAAATTTTAATACGATTTATTATGGTTGTCAGGAGACCACCCAATCAATATTTTGCTACAGCGTCACATATATTTTTAGTGAAGACAGAACACTTAACAGCTCGAAACTGAAACTGGACTAGGGAGGAAGAAATATAGAGGAGGAGAGTGTTGTCAAAAGTCATGTAACTGTGCATCTTTTTTTTTTTTTTCCAATCGACATATTTGCAGTTTTTTAGAAGCCACAAGAAATAGGTATATTTTGTTTCTATTCTTAATATTGAGTCTGTACGTGCCTTCGATGACCCACGACCTTGATTACCTTTGGTGGTTGTGTCTAAGCCATAGAAAACAGAACGTCACCACTGAGAAGAGAGTGAGCGCGACCCAAACCGGCCAGTTCTCAATCTGCGGTTTTCGGGCGAAAGGAAAACGATTTTCAAGTCGTAAATTGTGTTCTGGGTAGTTGGTCTGCGACGTATGTCATGTACAAATGAAAACCTTGACGAGCATAAATACCCTGTCAGTGTCCCTTTACGTTTCATAAAAGGCTTAATCTGCTGAATAAATCGTAATTTTACCCTGTCTGCAGCATATATTACTTGGTATTAGTAAATGATTTTTCTTATCAGTATTTCATGTTCAGTCGTTGACTTTTGTTGTTTGTCTATGCTAGTTTACTAGTATTTTTATTTGGGATGTTATTAGGAACAGCGTTATTGAATGTTGGTGCTTTGTATAGTTGTGCAAACGTCTAACACTAACAACCCTAATAGTAGGATTATCAATAAATAATAAAATTAGGTGAAAGTATGAGTTTTTGGAAGTACAGTGCAACACACTTATAACGATACCACATATAATGATGTACCGCTTATAACCATCAGTTCCTAGAGTTTCTAGACTGGAAATGGTCAGTTTCTAGTCCTGATCAATGATAATCAGTTATAACGATTGAAATTTCAGGTTTTCTCATCGTAAGTGGGTTGCACTACCTGTATACGCAAGCATCCCTGTGAATACAAACATTTTAATTCGAGACTCCCAAATTTAGTCATCTCTGAGTACGGTGAGGTGAAGGGGCTCAAATGCATAATCCGAATGTTCTGAGAATGAGTCTTCGGATTTTCTCGCTCTTTCATGGTCCAAGGGACCAACATAAAACTGATTGCAAAAGATATAAAAGCAAGGAACAACAATATTCAACGGACCTTCACCTTGAACACCTTTCCAGCAAGTTTGACAAATTGCCCTTTTGAGATGAGTGACCCCCTCTGCAAGTCAACCTACAGAGAGTTGGCAAATTGGACAGGTTGGCCTTGGACGAGTTGGCCGGATCCCGTGTACGACACCGGATTCTCGCGACAGTCTTATTACATCAAATGTAATCTGCGCCTGCCCTGTGCACACATTAGCTGCCACATGTTGCCTCACTGCTTGTCAATGTCTTTTGCAGATGCACTTTGCTTCCCAACGGAAACAGGTGTTCAAGCCCACTGCAACGTGGGCAAATGCATCGAGCCTGTGTGTAAACGGACCTTTTAGGCGGTAGCAGACGCAGCTTCGGGATTGATTCGCAGTACAAGAAGTTGCCTTTTGCAGGGCGTATGTCGATGCTTCTTTGGCTTCTCCGGAGACAAGTGTACCTCGTACCGGGGAAGATGCTGGCTTCTGCACTGCTTCCTTCGAGACTGCTACAGTGCCAACGGTGCGAGGCTAAGATGTCTTTGCGATCCGTCGCTCTACGGTATTCAGGTCCTCTGTGAGTTGACGACTTGGCCTTATGAAGCTACAGTTGCTTTGCAATCGACTGGGCACCAATATTTGGGTCATCGAACAACTTTTTCAGCTGGCTTATACTGGTATCCAGAAGGGCTCTCCGGTTCATACAAGCCACCGCCAGAGTCCTGGACAGACGATATCCCGAGTCAAGCCAAGGATGCAGATTTTGAATCTTATAAATTAGGTCTGTTTTGTAGTTTAAAGTTTATTAGCCACATCTGGTTATAGCCTTCATAATGATGCAGGTTCTCTAGGTGTCTCTGTAACCTGGGAAATGACTAGACATGCATTGAGGGTGCTTTACCTTTTACTGTATAGCTAAATGATAAAAGAATTTGGGGCAGCAATATATGCGTAGGTAAACTAAAAAAAAATGTATGGCAAATTGCTGGGCAATTGTGTAGCATACGTGAACCGTTCTAGCATCTCGCTAAACTTAGCGGGAAACTGAATTGGTGTATAGGTCATGCGACGTTCCATAATGCATCACTGTGTGCATTGCATTATGGGACGTCACGTGATTTATACACCAATTCAACTTCCCCGCCAAATTTAAGAGAGAAACTGAATTGGTGTGCAAGTCTGCGACGTCCCATTATCCAATGCTGTGTGCGTTGCATTATGGGACGTCGCAGGCCACGACTTCAGGAATTGTGGCTACTCACTCAAGTAAATCTGCTTTACTAGTTGCATCATTCAACATGCTTTGTACCTCAAAATCTGGTGGCCAGATATCCGCAGTGAAAAATTGATGCCCTTAGAAAGAGCCACGCAGGCAGCAGCCATACCTTTACTTCATTGCTACCACATCCACCATTGTTCAAATTGCTGGCAACATACATGCGACCACTGCCATTTAACTGAATCCATTGATGTAGCATGTGTCGACAATCTGACTGTTTAGAAAATACTGCTGGAGGGCAACGCCGGTTTTTGAAAACAATGCATGGTTCGTAGCTGCGCGAGTGATCAACAAACTGCATCTTCCAGAGGGTGTGGACGAAGAGATCGACTTGTCTCTCTACCAGCGAGCAGTCGCCGCTGCGACAGCTCGGAAAGCGGATAGCCTGGGGCTTGGAAAGAAAGCAGACGTCCGCCCTAGTGCGACTCGGCAGTTTGGACAAACTCTGCGCACAAGGATCACCCGTCCAGATCCTTCGCTTTGGAACAAGACCATTATCTCGTACCTGATGTCTCAGATCTCCGAGCTGAGCAAGAGCGAACAGATCCAGAAGGTGATCAAGGGCATCCCTGGCTCAAGGACAAGTCTCAAGACCACAGACGTTCCAGTGGCCACCAAGTCTGCCAAGAACTCCCTGGAGAGGGACTTTGGGGAGGACCTGAAGTTTGTTTATGAGAACTATGTGCCACTGGACGAGGGAGCAGTTGTCAGTGCTGCTGCTCGCCCCATTCTTCAAATGCCCCATTTGTCCCTGTGGACAGCCCTATTCTTGGCTAAGCTGCATGCGGCAGTTATTCTTAATATATCAACTGCTGCACTAACATGTGCACATATTTCAACAATGCAAATACTTTCCCCTTCACCTTTATTGGGTAAAAATAAATAGTACACACAGTGCAAGTTGCGGCAAAAAGGAAGGAATAGAATATGAATGTCTCGTCTACATGTGTGTGTGTATATTATATATACACACACACACACTTAAAAAAAAGAATGGTGCAGTATAGGCCTAGAAGGTATATCATAAATAAACTGAAGCACAAACCTTCTATAGATAAGATCTAGCTAAACGTTATAACAAATATAAGTATAAAATAAAACAAGACCTTGAAGAATTAAGGCCTGGAAAACGTGCAATGGAATCAACAAAGCACTACGTCAGCCAAAAAAGAATTGAAGCATAAAAATACCTAGTGAATGATACTCTGGGGGAAAATAAAAAATAGAAGTGAGTCTTCCTCTACACAAAGTACATGCTGTTGCGCAGACTCTCCTTGACGCTGACAGCATCCACACATTTCTGGATGTCAGCATCGCTCATCTCCTGCACGCCGTCTGATGACTGTCCGTCCCCGAGGGCAGACACGGCATGCTGGTTGGCCCTGAACGCCACCCAGTGGGCGTAGTAGGCCGGCGCCGGGATAGAGACGCTCCTCGGGCACCTGGCGTACGTGTGGCACAAGTAGAAGGTCAGGCTCTGCAACTCGTCCGCCTGAAAGCCCACGTCGTCGTGCAGCACATAGTAGTGCGTGGGGCGGCTCGTGCCTTGGATGCCGGCGTGGCTGCACAGGAAGAAGTCGAAGTCCTTCGGGTGCGTGACTATGCGATCGACCGTCGTCCCTGGAGGGACGTTGTTGAAGCGTCCAACGCCGTCCTGCTGGTGTTTGGGCATGAACCTTGTGCTGTGGCGCTTCTGAACGAGGATGAACACGATGGCCGGCGTGTAGCCATCCTCCAGCTCCTTGCAGGCCTGCCGCAGGGCCGGCAGTTCGTGGTTGAGCACCTCCGCAAACTGGCCCTCGCTGACGCCATCCCTGTAGAAGATGATCTTCCGTGGCTTCTGCCGAGTCTTTTTGTAAAAAGCTCGCAGGGCTTCCTTAACCATTCCTTTCAGGTCCTTGATGATCTCGCGTTCGTTGCTGTTTGCGGAGGTTCTCTGGATGCGCACACTGGCGTGGTACTTCGAGGGGCAGCTGTCCAGGCTTCCTACCAGAGCCGCATATGAGGGGTGGTTGGAGCGGTTTGGTGCAGGGTGGTTCACGTCTGCGCCAAGGATTATCACAGGTTCCTCGAAAATGGCCGGTCGCTTGCTGATGGTGTTAGCATCGCCCCCACATTTGGCATTCACCTTGTGGCACAGGTTGACCAAGAGCGCGGGCAGTGGCTGGTGCAACATTTTATCGACGACGTTGTAGACATTTTTCTCCATGCAGCACTGGGTTGCCAGGCCAAGGTCCCTCTCGCAGATCAGCTTTATGGCATTGTGGTTGTCGATCTCCGGATTGAGGATGATCAGGAGAAATTTGAAGCTGGCAGCCATCCTCTTCAGGACAGTCCCCAGCACGTCCTCTTCCTTAAATATGTACACTTCACCTCGTCTCTCAACCTTCATTCCCAGCTTGGTTGCCACATCCTGGAATTTCCGGAGAAACCTGTCCAGGAGGTCCACCATCAGCTGACAGGAGAAGCTGAGCACTGCCCATTTGTCCACACTGGCGGGATGCAGGAACCTCGAGGAACGCATGTCCCACTGACCATCTTTCGGCCATATCATATTCCTCTGAAAGACTATCTGCGGAGGATCCAGGACTCTGCCCTCCAGTTCCAATGGCTTCACATCAATGTTTATCCCGAAGCTAGAAGCCACCGAGCTTTTGTTCGCCGTCAATGCTTGTATGTCCCTGTCAATCTTCTGGAATCTCTCTGCTGGTGGGATGGCAGTCATCTTAATCATCTGAGGAGCCTCCTGCCTCGAGAGTTTGGTCTTGGAGTGGAAATTCTCTGGGATTTCGCAGACTTCGACTGGGAAGTACTTGGGCTTCTCATCTGTCCCGCACTGGATGCAGGGAAGGTTGGGGTACCTGAGGGGCCTGTACTTCTTCTTGAAATATGCGGCGACTGTTGTCCGTCGTCCCTCTTCGTCCTTAAACTCGATTTTAGACGCCGGGGAAGTCGTGACCGCAAGGACCTTGGGCTTGGGCTTGAACGATAGATGGGTGACCCTAACCTTCATGTTGGGAAGTATCCTATTCAGCTTTTTGATTTTCTGAATATCCAGGGCTTCTCCTTCCAGCTTGTTCACATAGTCTTTGTCATTAAGTACCTGGCCAATAAAGTCGATTAGCGGGCCAGCCTTGTAGAAGGTTGTTGCCGTAACGTTGAGGTTCAGCATGGGTTTCCATTGACACAGGTGCACGGTCGGAGTGAAGCCAAACCAGACCTCTTTACCTCCTCCCAGTTCCGGTACCATCCTCATTTCTGGCTTCTTGAAAAACGACCTGCCGACTGGAGTGTATGTCATGGCTGGACTATGCTTGAGAATACAGTGTATAGCCTGCAAGACCGCAAGTGCACCTTCCCGACTGCCACCTTCGTAGACTTTGTTGATGGCACTCATTGACAGAATGCTTACAAACTGGATGGCAACGCTGTAATCCTTGGATGTACCATCTTCTTCAAAGGGGACAGTCACTTCATAGCTGTCTTGTGGAAGTTTGGTACGGAAATACATACTCTTGCGACCGTCAAAAGCTGGAATTGCTCCGTCAAAAATTCCACCACGAGGCTTGACTAAACGTGCTACAATGGCGCGATTCACCTTGGTGTTGAGACACCGATACTTGGATTTAATGCCCAGCTTCCTGGGATCTTTTTGGCGTTCCACTCCAATCTTGCTGATCTCCACGTCGTAGTGATAAAGCTGCCCGTCGGGCAGTGTCATGTTGAAGTAGTTCGACACAAGTAGGATGCAACGTCCATCGGTGCCATAGTTGGGACGCGGAGGTAGTTGTACCTCCGACGACGCGGTCGAAGGTACAAGAGCCTTACTGCAGACGCTTGTTGTCGAAGTCTCTGCACCAGGGCCCGGTTGCTTGTCTACGTGGGGAGTCTGAGGACTCGTTGAGGGGACCGGTTCTTTATTATCATTGCGTGAATGCGGATGTGAAACTGCTTCTGGCATTCCTTGTGGCCTAAACCTCCTTCCCGCCAGCTGCTCTTTGCGCTCGCCATAACTTGCGGGTGCAGCGTCACCACTGGTCCCCGCCTGCGGTTGCACGTTTCCGTGATTCGCAAGTGCCGTCGAAGACTCTGGTGTGTTCGGAAGGCTTTCCTCTGCAAGAAGAGAACACGAAATGGACGCTTATATCGCAGATGCTAGATCAAGCTCGGGAGCCGTCTAAAACTCTACCCAGTCCAGGAAAATTCGGGCTTGTCCGACGTGCACCTCTGATATCCTTTGCATAATTGCGTGTGTCAAAAACAAAAGCAGCTTTTGCACAACTGCATGCCAAATGTGCCTAAACGTTGGCACTGCTGTTAATTTCTTTCTTCTGCTTAGAGTGCACCACAAACAGCTTTCGCCTTAATAGTGTGCACATCATGAACAAAACTATGGAAGAACAAAACAAAGGAAGCAAACAAGCCCAGATCATTCTGGTCGCGGTTAAAGGAAAATTGCATGAATGTAAATTTTGGATCACCTATGACACATAGATGATCCAAAATTTACATTCATTGCGTAAAACAAAGAAAGCTCCAATGTGCTTTCTTAAAACACAAAAAGAAATGACACTAACAAGCGACAGTGATAACCAATTATGCAATTCACTACTTCATACGAAAAAACATGTGCAGTGATGGAAGCAGCATTTGACCTTTTGTAGTAGGTTCTGTAGCAGGCGAAACATTGATTTGGAGCAGATGCCAACATCTGTTAGCACATCACTTGAAAATGAAAAAGTTATTGCAAATTGCTAAACGAGTTTATCTTTAATAATGACTGAAGGTTCCTTATGATCCTGGAGCATATTAAATATTACCTTTTGTAATAAGACTAGATAGGGCATCAAAAGAACACGGTGTTCTTTTTAGAAATAAGGCTCTAGTCAGAAAAGGTTCCATTTACAATGGGTACTAAAAATATTATAAAAAAATTAATCATGGCGCAACAGTTTAGTTGAGACAAAGCTTCTCTTCCCTCGCACTTTTGCAGCTGGTAGTTATTTAGCCTGTATATTATAAGTTCTGTAAAATGACTGCAAAACCCAGCTCGTCTATCAACAAAAATATGTACCCAAAGTTTTATGAACCTACCAAATTTGAGACTTTAATATTATCAACTGCCAAAACAACCACCACCAAATACTATGAAATCCTCCGCTTGTGCAAGTGACACTGCTTGCGGCATTGGAACCAGAGTGAAGTCCAATTTTGCTGTCCTTTCAATCGATAGCTGCACGGGAACAACCTTGACTACCATTTATTCAAATATAGACCCGCATTTCATTTTTTCGGTGCAGATTTCTAGAATCAAAAATCAACCTACTAAAAAAAGAAAAAAGCAGACTTGGGATAGTACTGAGCCTATCGCGCTAACTTAGGCACTCACCAAAGTCGTTCACTCACCAAAGTCGTTAATGTAGAGAGTTTGGCCATTCATTGTGAAGTATATAGGAGACAAATGAGGAGGCGCCATTAACCAAAAGCGGGCTGGGCGTGTTCCAGGGCGTCTTCACAAATTTGAACGTGGCCAACCAGGAGCCGGAAATTATACCCTGGTGGTGGTTGCGAGAAACGAAATTAATTAGTCCGTCGCAGTAACTCTCGGTGACTGAAAATATGGTGCACGTGACGTTTCAATCACGGTCATCCAAGATAATGGAAGAAGAGCGCAACTAGCAGAGCGATTGACATACTCCGTACGCAAGGCGCCGAGGGCAGAGACTCTGCCGTCTAAGCGGTCACACTCTGTCCAAGCGAAACAGAGTTTGAGCGGCACATTCGTTTCTTATATCTTTCTGCATGATCATAATCGAAACATCACGTGCACCTTATTTCCAACCAGGAAGGGTTACTCCATTTAACTCTTACGTGCTTATTAAAACCATATAGCTATGATTCAAACTGTTTCGTGCTACCACCGCCAGAGGATTCTTTTTGGCTTCTGGTTGGCCAAGAGAGCATGTAAAGCCCTCTTTCCGTGTCTGGTGCACACCCTAGCTCTGCCCGCGCCTCTCTTTATTCAAGTCTTTGGCGCTTACCCATGTCAGCTGTTCTAGCACTCCGGTGCAAAGCGGTGAAGCTCGACACGTGCGCTGGTGAGAGGCGGCACGGAGGCATGTGGCAGACATGATAATTAAGTGATCTCATCAGGAGTACAAGACCCCGGTTCTGTCTTATCAGAGTAGCCACCATCCTACAATTTCGCAATGTTTTCTCGCAACTTTTAGCTCCTCACATCGCCGACACTGTCGGGAAATTTGGACAATGTCGGCGATCGATCCGCAGCGCATCAACCAACCAGTGCGGTTCACAAGTAATCTCAATACTTCGTTTCACCTTAATTTCAAGTTCAGTCACTGCTACGAGTCAATGGGACGAACAAGCATCAAGGCGCGATATTATGGCATTCGTCCTCCCCGTGCGTGGCCCTTCATCAACTAAACAAATCAAGTGCGACAAATGTATTGTGACTTGCTCTTTAGTATGCGTTTGTGGTTGTATGTGTTCGAGCCTTTGACTGTACTCTGGCCTAAGATAAAACAAACCATATAGTGAGTGGAGATTCTCTGAAATACAGTATAGACCACTTACAACGTAACCGCTTATAGTGCAGGACCGGGTATAACGCGGTTTTTTTAAACCACCGGTTCGCCTCCCATAGAACTCCATGTATTTACATACCGCTTAAAATGCAGGCGCGCGAAGGGAAATACCGGCTATAGTGCGGTTTTTGGCACAGCCCGCCGACCGCGCCGACGACCGGAGCAGCGGGCACGCTTCCCTGTGCGACACTAGATAACGGCGCTGACGGCGCGGGGCGAGGATGTTGCTCGAAGAAGTGGGGAGAAGCGAAGAGAGAGGCTTCAGTCGCCGTAGCGACAGAGGGACGCACGCACGTGTCGTTCACGTGCGTGCGTCCCTCCGCTGCGTTGGAAACAAAGAAACAAACAACCGCACCGACAGACCAATCGCAGATCGAGGAGAAGTGTTCGCGCGCGTTGCGTACCGGTCGCGGGCCGGCTGCTTCTCCGCAAACATGGTGTCGGTTGTGATCGTCGTCGTAGACGGAGTTCATCTCATCGTTCTGCGTAAAAGCGCTATCCTTGTCTGTGAATTTTCGTTGTGTGTCGCTATGATAACCCAGCACGTACTAGAAGGGAAGATCCACCTACTCGTGCAGCGATGTCGTGGCGGCGCTCTCAAGACGGCAGAAACGCCCGTGTCGTCGTGTTTGTTTACTTCGACTACAGTGGTGACTTCTAAGCATTTGTGACCTTAAACATCGCCCGGATTTCTTATTTGGCGCATTTCATGCGTGTGCTAAAGTTCAAGGTATTACTGGCGCGTACCGTATGAAGGATGCGAATTTTCACGCGTTTTCATCTCCGGAGAAAAGGGATTAGGGTTAGCAATCCTGAACGCTCGCAACGTCCGTCCGCCGCAGGGAGGCACTCACTTGATCGAATGACGTTTTAGCGAACGCCCACGTTTCACCGAATGACACTTGAGCGAATAGTCGGACGCCGCGAAGCGGCGTTTTCGGGTGGGCCAAATGGGTTCACATTTTTGTAATGAGCCGCCGCAGACTGTCGCCGCGAAGCGGCGTAAAGCGCAGCGCGGCGGATGGGTTAACGCGCGTTCCCGTTATTCGCTAAAACGTCGATTCGCTCAAATGTCACTGTTCGCTAAAATGTCATTCGCTCATGTGATATGGACCCATTGTTTTACAAAGGTAAGTTGTCTCATGGCATGTATTTTGGCCTGAAAAATTGATGTTTTGGTTATAACGCGGTACCGCTTATAGTGCGGATTTTCGCGACTCCCGCGACATACGTTATATGCGGTCTACACTGTACATATTTGTACCGGTTTCCTTTCCTTCTCTAAATATTAGAGTTGACCAATATTAACTTTTTTTTTTGCTTTCCCTTTTTTGGCGCAGGTGTGGCGCAATTCTTCGCAAAAATGGCACTTTGGTGCAAGACGTAGCAGACTTTCGTTCATGGCGCAATTTGGCGCAAATAACAAAGCACTTCCATGACTGCACGTCTCTCATCTGCCTCATATCAAAAAAAGCTAGGTACCAGGCCAAACAAGTTAAGAAGCATTTCCTGGTCAAATAAACACGCCTCCCAATTCATCTACCGTAAATGATATGCACAGGACAACGCTGCACTCTTTCCAAGATAAATGACTGGGTCACACCGAACAAATTCCACACTACTAAACAGCACATTGAGGTCACAAATACTATCCAACCTCACAATTTTCCAACTAAACATAAAATAGAAATAAATGATGCAGCTTGCTTTGTGTGTTAACGAAACAACTTTTGTTTTACAAGGGCTGAGCAGAAGATTTTTGCGTGCCCCAGTTTTGAACTGCAATTGAATTTATTTCACGATAAATCTTAATATTATCAGCAAACTGCAGTAGCTCCGAGTGCTGTACAGAACCTACTAAATTGTCAACAAAAACATTGAAAGGAAGTGGCCCAAGATTGGACCCTTGTGGCACTCCTGAGTCCAAACATAGGGTGATGAAAGCAATCCTGCATGTGACACTTCGTTTGACCTTCCACTTGAATTACTTAACGTGTAGGCCGACTGGGGAGAAGGGTTGCCCCTTTCTGATTGCAGGATTGCCTTTAAAGGGATACTTCAACGAAATTTGAAATATTCCCGTCGTGTTCAAAAATAGGTTGAATATGATCCACAATATCCGTAAATGAAAATCGCACGTTTGTATTTTAATCTTGGTGGCTGTATTTTTCGTTATAAACGGCCCACTCAGGCAAGCGCTCGGAGAAGGCCCAGCTTAGAGCACGTGACATCCAACGCAATCGTGACGTAGGTCGTCTCAAGACGAGCAAAGCTACCGCGAGGCTGACGTCGAGAGGATGGCCTAGTCGTTCCAGCCACCGAAGCGGCTGCTTTTGTACGAATTTCGAGTGACGGGTTAATCTTCTATAATCTTCTAGGGGGACAATAGCGACTTCTGCGACACACAAAAGGGATTCTCGAGAAGAGGGGAGTTCTTCCTTCCCCCCTTCTCTCGTCGTGGCCGGAGACGAGACAACCTCCGTCACTAGCTGTCAAGGTTCCTAGACG